CAAGTGAGCACCGCTCCTGGCCCCTCTATATCTTTATCTTTTTTTAACTTATTTATTTTTATTTTTTGTGCATTGGTGTTTTGCCTGCATGTATGTCAGTATGGAAGTGTGGAATCCGCTGGAACTGAAGTTGTGAGCTGCCATGTGGGTGCTGGGAATTGAACACAGGTCCTGTGTAAGAGCAGTTGGTGCTCTTAACCACTGAGCCATCTGTCCAGCCCCTTCTCCATATTTTATAGGGCCAGAAACTGAGACCAGAAAGATGAGGGCTCTCACCCAGGTCAGCTGCATTAGCTCTGCCTCCAGCCTCCTTCGGCTTAAACTGTCAGCCACAGCTGGACTCTGAGGACCCCCCTCCTCTTTCCTGCAGGTGATGAGGATGACACTGAACACAATGACTTGGCGGCGCAGAGAGATGGTTCGCTGGCTGGTTAGCTGTGCCACAGAGATTGGTGAGTACCTGGAGGGACCTCTGAGGACACCAGACAGGCTCAAGAAAGACTGGCCCTTCCTGGCATGCTGTGCAGCCCTTTAGCCCCAGTACAGGGGAGGCGGAGGCAGGCAGATCTGTCGATTTGAGGCCAGCCTAGGCTACATAGTAAACTCTGCCTCAAAGCAACAGATAAAAACAAAACAAAAGCAGGCCTTTGCCTGTTGCCAACTGTGGGCCGCCTGGGAGGGAACATGAGGTGGGATGAGTGCAGGTACGAAGCCTGGAGGCCGGCCAGGCTGAAGTGGGCAGGAGAAGGAGCAGGCCTTAGATACTAGCCAGCCTCATGGTTTCCACCCAGTCCAGCCACTCCTGGTCCTCCGAAAAGGGGAAAATTTTCTGTCCAGACATGGTAGTTCACCTGGAGCACTGAGGAGGTTAAGTCAGGAATATCCATATTATAGACAGCCTGGGCTCATAATGAGACCCATCTCAAGACTCCATGGTTAGAAGTGTGGCTCAGCATACGGTAATCACTTGGCAGGGACAGGGTTCCTGACCACATCTCCATAGAGCCAGTAGGAGAGGGTTGTAGCTCATTTGATAGAGTACAGGCCTAACATGTACTAGGCCGTGTCCTCTGGGCATGGCAGCACTAGTCTGATCCCAGCACGTGAGAGATGGAGGCAGGAGGACCAGAGGTGAGTCCTTAGCTCCATAGCAAGTTTGAGGTAACCCTGGACTATGAGACCTTGGTATTTTGTTTTTGTTTTTGTTTCTGTTTGTTAGTTTTCGTGGGGAAGGTTTTTATTATAGATTGGCAGGGGGAAGAGTCCGGGCTGGCAGACTAACCCAAACCATAAGAGGACAGATGGGGAGGGAGAACAAGGGAGGAGACACAAACCAAGAGAGCCGGCTGGGCCAAGGCACCAGGAGCCTCACTTGGTTTTAATTAACTAATTTTATGTGTGCGGGTGTTTGCCTGCATGTGTCTCTGTGTGCCATATGTGTACCTGGTATCTGTGGAGGCCAGAGGATTCCTTGGAGTCTCTGATGGTTGTGAGCTATCACTAGGGTGCTGGAAATCAAACCCAGGTCCTGTGGAAGGGCAGCCAGTGCTCTTAACCAGTAAGCCGCTCTCCAGCTCCATGGGAACAGTTAGGCATGATGGCCCACAACTGTTATCCCAGCTCTTGACAGGCACTGGTAGGTGAATCTCTGAGTTTGAGGCCAATTGGGGCTGCATAGTGAGATGCCCTCCCCTAAAGTTTTTGCATGGTGAAGCTGGGAGCATGCAGAGGTAGTGGTTGCAGGGTGGGGAGGGAAATGACAGAGTCTTGCAAGCACACTCACGCGCTCACGCACACTCACACACACACACATGCACACATACTCACATGCATGCATGCTCACACGAACACACGCACACACTCACACACATGCATGCATACTCACATGCACGCATACTCACACGCACATACTCACACACACACTCACACACGCACGTACCCTGCTCCATTCCCTCTCCCCACTCCCAGGCCCACCAGCGCTGATGAGCATCATGAAGAACTGGTACTCGTTGTTCACCCCAGTGGAGGCAGTCACTATTGTGGCAGTGACAGGCACCACACATGCCACTTTGCTGCGACTGCAGCTAGACTCGGCCGGGCGAGAGGAGCTCTGGGCCTGTGCCCGCACCTTGGCACTGCAGTGCGCCATGAAGGACCCCCAGAACTGCGCCTTGCCAGCCCTGACCCTGTGTGAAAAGAATCACGCCGCCTTCGAGGCTGCCTACCAGATTGTGCTGGACGCTGCAGCTGGTGGCCTCGGCCACGCCCATCTGTTCACAGTGGCACGATACATGGAGCATCGAGGCCTGCCTTTGCGGGCCTACAAGCTGGCCACACTAGCCTTGGCGCAACTCAGCATCGCCTTCAACCAAGACAGCCATCCCGCGGTCAACGACGTGCTATGGGCCTGCTCACTCAGCCACTCACTGGGGCGGCACGAGTTGTCAGCCATTGTCCCTCTCATCATCCGCAGCATCCACTGCGCACCTATGCTGTCAGACATCCTACGCCGCTGGACACTCTCAGCACCAGGTCTGGGCCCATTGGGGGCCCGCAGGGCTACCAAGCCACTCGGGACTGACAGGGCACCACTTTGCCAACTCCTGGATGCTGCAGTAGCCGCCTACATCACCACCAGTCACTCACGACTTACCCACATCAGCCCACGTCACTACGGTGACTTCATCGAGTTCCTGGGCAAAGCACGAGAGACCTTCCTTCTGGCACCAGATGGGCACCTCCAGTTCGCACAGTTCTTAGAGAACCTTAAGCAGACCTACAAGGGGAAGAAGAAGCTGATGCTCCTGGTTCGGGAGCGGTTTGGCTGAGGGACCACCACTAGCTAGAGCATGGGTATCCCCTGGCCTGCCTTCCTGAAGCAGGAGGTCCGTGGCTACTTCAGGATCAAGCTACGGAATGTGGGAGGCAGGAGGTGACACTATTCTAAGTGTGTGCCTAGAAGTATGCAGACAAATGGGAGATCTGAGGATCCGAAGCCATACTGCTAACTAGAGGCCTGCAGGGGGTGTGTGCCTGGGCGCCCCACAAGCAGGAGGCAAGTTCTGGCTCTCCCAGACTCACAGGGTTAGCTGGGACTTCCAGGAGAAGGGCTAGAGGCAGAACTTTCCAGAAATTATTTCTTAAATTCAGTATAGCAGATCCTCCAGAGCCCACCCAGGTACCTGGGGACTTCACATCAGGGTAGTTAAGTCCTGTTGTTTTTCTTCCCCTCCCCTCCAGCTCAGGGGTCCTATTCCACTGCCCTGCACTCCCAGCCCAAGCTGCCAGCACAAATCAATGCCTCACCCCCACTGAAGGATATCAAGAGGCCGTGAGCCTCTGCCATATACCTCCCCCAAACACGCCGTCCAGCCAGGACCCGTCTTGTTTTGGGCACCAAGGTCACAGGGTAGGCTGGGCACGGCTCTCTGCTGCCCGGGACCCCACCACTAGTAACTGGATACACAACTCAGGAACCAGGCTGCCTCCACCCTGTAGGGGGAGGCACAGGCAGACAGCCAGGGACCCCACCCTGTCTTCCTTTCGCTCCACACGCCATCTCTGTTCCTCACTTCCTTTAGTTTACCATTTCTGCATCTCTCAAGTCGCAGCTGCTGACAGAGGCATCCCTTATCCCAGGCCTTGGCCCAGGGAGGAAGAGAAGGGATCGCCTCCACCCCATTGAACCAGTCTTCTCTCTTGTATATTAAGGAAAAAGTTGGCATCATTTTGTAACTTTTTTTCCTATTTATTGAATCCCACACTGTATTCCTTTCCTTTAAAAAAAAAAACCAAATGAACACAACTTCTTTTTTAACAACTTCTTTGAGATTGAGTTGCATTGCTCCCCCCATACCCAAGGCCAGGGCTTCTCACCTGTTCGATTAACCAAAAAAAATCCATTTTGGTTTTTGGACACAGCTTCAAGAGTGGGATAGGAGGGGCTGCTGGCTTCCTCCAGTAGCATATTGGTGACACAAAGAGCAATCTCTTGATGGCAGCTCTGCTGCATGTGACAAACTCCCTGCAAGTCAGGCTTTTATAATGCCTCTAGCAAAGTGCACCCAGCCTGACTGCCAGGATTGCACCGCACGTACACCGCAATTACCACCAGGGGGCGCCTGGCTCAAGACAACGAGCTCGGGAGGTCACGCCAGGTATGGAGTGCAGCTGGGGACGCTGAAACTGACGGGGATTCCTGGGCCCGCGGTGGCGAGTCCATTGCGCATCTGGGCTGTGGATGAGCCTCCCAGTTCTCAGATGGATTCATCCAGGGGACATTGCTTTGGTTTTCTTCTCGTTCTCGGGTTCTTCGTATCCTTTAGGCACTAACAGACTGGGTCATGGTGGAGGATAGTTAGGGAGAGGGGAGGTGGCCGCTATGGGGCGCTGCAGCAGCGCGCAAGGTCAGGCACTAAGGGAACTGGCCATCACTTGGCTCATAGTGCTCCTTTACTCAAGAGAGCCAATCAGAGGCTACCCCACCTAGCAGGTCCCTCTGGTGTGTGTGAGCGGCCCCTCAGTACTCAGGGTGCCTGAATCCCTGGCACCTCGTTAGCCAGTGCATTCTGGACCTAGGACATTGCTCTGGGGGTGCAGCACAGGTTTGCCAGCCACTAATGTCGTCTAGGTAGACCTAGCAACTCCATATCACACCTCAAATCAAAGTTCCTGTACTCATTAATTCTCTCATACACCCCAGGCCTGAGTTATGCCCCCCAGCCAAGCTGCCCCCAAATGCCACCCACTCAACATCTTCAGGTCCCAGCTGTCTCGACCCAGCACCTTCACACACCTTCCTAGAAGCAGGTGGGACAGGATTAGGGATAGGTGAGGTCAGGGCCAGAGTGGGGTATAGGGGTGCACCAATATCCCCAAACTCCAGGCACCGAGGGAGGACTGACTCAGGTCAGCCTGTTCTACAGAGAAACGCTTGTTTCAGAATAAAAGAAAAAAAGCCAACAATTCACAATGGGAGGCAGGAATGAAGAACATCAGACTTTAAGGGGGAACTGGGCAAGCTTTTATTTAATTAGAAAACAGGCACATTCAATACAAGCTCCACCTATCTGTCCCTCCACCCAAGCCTCCATTTTCCCCTACCCAGGGTTGGGAGGGGACACTGGGTGATCTGGGAAGTGTAACTCAGCCCTGTGCCAACTAGACTACATCCTGTCTGGTTTGGAGAGAGCAGGCAACCTTTTTTGTTTTTTGAGTCAGGATTTCTCTGTGGCTTTGGAGACTGTCCTGGAACTTGCTCTGTAGACCAGACTGGTCTTGAACTCACAGAGATCCACCTGCCTCTGCCTCCCGAGTGCTGGGATTAAAGGCGTGAGCCACCTATGCCCGGTTCAGAAGGCAACTTTTTAACTTCTAAGCCTGGAGATTACTCCAAGAAGCCACAGTATCAGGGGAAAGGGGCCGATCTGTTCCTGTCCTTTGAGGGACCTTGCTCCCTGCATCACTGACACCAGTGGAAAGCTGCAGGCCTCATGGGGTGCTAAGCACACCGGATAAGGTCAGGGCTTTGTTGCGGAAGCTGGGAGTTGGCATTTAACGGTCAGAGGGCCTAGAGCAGCTTCCTCTTGGGTAACTGACAAGGCAAGGTGTATGTAAGGGGTGGTGCCTGGGCCCCACTGGGCTCCGGAGAGGAAGGGCTGCAGGCTGAGAGGACACAGCCGGCTCGCCTTTTTATGCGAGGATCACCCACTCATCCATCTGTTCTCTGTGGGAACCACAAAGAGCTCCAGGAGTGGCCATGTGGAGTGGCGTGCCCAGAGGAAGGCTTAGAGGAAGGGCCTACAGCAGATAGCTGGACCTAGGCACGACTGAGCGCCCCATGGCCCCCGGTCCCATCCATCCTGGTCTCAGGCCGTGGCAGACATTGTGGGGGCCAGCTCCTGGGGGCTGGACTCCTGTTCCTGCTGAACTGAGCCAGTGCACTGGGATCAACTGTTTCAGCTCAGTAGGCACAGGAGGCGAAGCCCAGGGAGAAGGAGGCAGAGCAGGGCGGGCAGCGCCGTCTGAGGAGATGGGGCCCGGGGGAGCGGAACTTAGCCACTGTGAACACGACTTGCTGTGGACCTTGCTCACAAGCAGCTAAGCCCTGCTCCTCAGGCCGGTTGTCACACGGGGCTTCTCTCTCACCCAGTCCCCAGGGTGGGCGTCCTTGGCAACCGGAGTCCCCAAGGCAGAGCACAGGGTCAGTTGGAAATCCCTGGCAATGTGATTTGTGACTGGCATCAAATCCCATCCCCAGGAACCCCAGCCGGCCGAGGCACAGTGAGGGAACAGCAGGCTGGATCGGAGTGTAGCACCTGTGGGAGAGAGGAGAGAGGATGAGATTGGGAATATTCCCGCTTGACGGCCTATCATTTGCTATTTACTTCAGGCAGGGTCTCACATGGCTGAGCAGTTTCTGAACTGGTGACTCCCCTGCCTCCACCTCTGGAGTCTAGGATTCACAGGCTCACCTCACCACACCCAGTTTACATGGTGCTAGTGACAGAACCACACCCCAGCCCTCCATCTGCTTCCAGGATGCAAGAAGCCTACCCACAGAGGAGCATTCTGGGAGAACTGCCTGAGCCAGCCAGGTGCTCGGCGCCCAGGAGTGCCTCTAACCTCAGCCCTGCAAAGTCAATGTGCCCAGGAAGCCCTAACAGGCCGGATAGGATGCACAGCCTGCTCAGCTGATTTCCACCCATAGCCCTGAGCCCAAAGCAGGCCAAATGGGGCCAAGGAGAGAGGAAGCTGAGGGAGGTGGGTGGTGGGGGGGGAGGAAGTGACCTCACCCCAGCTGGCGCCACTTCCTAGCCTGAAAGGCAGAGGGAACTCCAGCACCACCCACCCCTGCCTCTATAGCTGTCTCCTCCACAGCCTGCTCAGGCGCACCCTACGCCCACCAACCCAACACTCAAGCTGGGAGCAGCAGGCCTCTACCCCAATACCTCAGCAAAATTTAAGTATCTGCTCCATAAGCTCCCTAGAGGCCTTCCAAGCCTCAGTTTCCCCGTCTGTAAAGTAGACCGAGAACAATTGCAGTTGGTGGCTCAGGTTCCTCTCTGCATTGAGGAGACTGAGGCAGGAGAGTTGTCAAGAGTCAAAAGCCTACTTAGGCAACATAATGAGTTTTAGACCAAACTTGGCTACTGTCTGAGATCCTAGTCTTAACAAAACAAACAAGACCCTCTACCAGGTGGGCCAGTATACATTAACTGAAAAGAAGCGATCTGACACTCGGCACCAGGGCAAGTCTAAGAATTTAGAACCTACCCAATGTAGAATAGCCACTTAAAAATTTCAGGGCCAGCAAGATGGTCCAGCAAGTAAACACACTCTCCATCAAGCCCAATACCTTGAGCTCAAACCCCAAGAACCACATAGTAGAAAAACATACTGACCCCCTGCAAGTCATCATCTGATCTCTGCCCTCGTGACCACACACACACACACACACACACACACACACACACACACACGGGAGGAGGGTAAGATTTTCAGACAGCTCACGCCACACACCAAGGCCAGGTCTCATAGAAGCCTCACAGTGGCACACACTGATCCCAGCACTCGGGAGGCAGAAGCAGGAAGATCTCTGCATTTGAGACCAGCCTGGTCTGCAGAGCGAGACCCTCTCAAAAGGGAAGAGAAAAAGGAGTTGGGGAAAGGCGTTTGGCGAGGTGAGTTCAGTTCTGGAGCTTTGTGCCTGCAAGTGAGCGCTGTGTAGCATCTTTGCTGGTTGACATGGTCAAAGAACACAGCCTCTCTGGGACAAGTCTTTTTATCTGCAAAATATCAATAATGAGTTATTTTAGACCCTGGCATAATGGCATGGGCTTGCAGTTCCCGCATCCAAGAGGGATAGAGGAACTCAACCTAGAGATCAGCCTGGGCTACCAAGTGAGACTGTATTTCAAGAGACAAGGAGCTAGAGAAGTGGCTCGTGGTTAAGAGCACAGGATACCTTCCAGGGGCTCTAGGTTCGGTTCCCAGCACCCACATGGTAGCTAGCAACTGTTGGAAACTACTTTCCCAGGGAATCTGACACCCTCTGGACTCTGCAGTCCCCATACATGCAGACATGCAGACAAAACACACACACACAAAGTAAATACCTTTTTTTTTTTTTTTTGGTTTTTCGAGACAGGGTTTCTCTGTATTGCTTTGGAGGCTGTCCTGAAACTTGCTCTGGAGACCAGGCTGGCCTCAAACTCACAGAGATCTGCCTGTCTCTGCCTCTTGAGTGCTGGAGTTAAAGGCGTGTGCCACCAATGCCCAGCTATTTTTGTTTATTTTGTGACAGGGTTTTTTGTGTAACAGCCCTAGATGTCCTAGAACTAGCTCTGTATAACAGGCTGGCCTCAAACTCAACAGAGAGTGACCTGCCTTTACCTCCCAAATTTTGGGATTAAAGGTATACATCACCACCACCTGGCTAAATAATTTTGTTTTGTTTTTTGTTTTTCGAGACAGGGTTTCTCTGTGGCTTTGGAAGCTGTCCTGGAACTCACTCTGTAGACCAGGCTGGTCTCAAACTCACAGAGATCCGCCTGCCTCTGCCTCCCGAGTGCTGGGATTAAAGGTGTGCACCACCAACGCCCGGCTTAAATAATTTTTAATTAAAGAAAAAAAAAGCAACTGTGGTGAGGCTCAGTGACAGCTTGCTGGCCCGGAACACCAGGCCTGGCTCCATCGTCAGCACCATATCAATGAAATGTTACGGTAAAAGCATTCAGGAGGTGGAGATGGAATTTAGAAATGCAAGGTCATCTTTGGCTACAGAGCAAGCTGTAGGCCAGCCTGGGATACATGAAACTCTCAAAACGAAATCTTAGGGCTGCAAAGATGGTTCAATGGTTTAGGTTGCATATTGCTCTTTCAGAGTTTGGTTCCCCAGCTCAGGACAGCCTGTGGTTCCAGCTCCAGGGAATCTGGTGCCCTCTTCTGGCTCTGTGGACACCTACACATAACATGCACATACCCAACACATGCCCAAAAATAAAGTCAAATTCATCTCAAAAAAGAAAGAACATCTCTGCTTCCTAAGTAACTGTATCCTAAGTATCCTTGTATGATATAGGACATCAGGACAAAAGGATTCTGTCCTATCATCAACGACAAGCGGGACAATGGCTCCTCGGAGGAATAGGGATTGAGAGATGGTCGGCTGTGTCTCCCTGAACACACACACACACACACACACACACACACGCACGCACGCACGCACGCACACACACTGGCTACCCTTCTTCGCACCAAGCCCCAGTCTGGCTCTGTCCCCTTGGGGTCTGGGGGCAGCCCAGGGCCTCAGGCTGGCCAGCCTCCCCAGTCACCTCCGGAAGTGAGACAGCATATTCGTTCCAGGGACTAGAACGGGAAGGGCGGCCATTTGGCCAGGCTGGTTTCCTGTGGGGTTTCCCCTACAAAGAGCCCAAGGCTGCGGCCAAGGCCACTCCCATCCTCACACACCAGAGGTCTGTGTCTGGTGTGAAAGGGCATTACCACGCAGGTGTCCAGGAGCTGGGACAACCTGTACCAAAAATTGTGCCTCTCTGCCTCATAGGAGGAGGGGGCCCAAAGGGACAGGGATGCTGGCGCTGGAGACCTTGGGGAACAGGGCGAGTCTGGGGCTGTGGCACCCCAGCCGGTGTCTGCACACACAGCCTACAGGCCCTCGGCATCTCTGGAGGACCCATAGTGGACCCCAAGAAGGAGCCATGGCAGAGGCCCTGCGGCCGTCCCCCTAGCTTGATCCTCAAATACTTTCCACCCTCGCGCAGCAGCGAGGATCATCGGAAAATACCGAGGGCTGCAGGCCCCGCCCCACCCCGCCCCCGCCCCGGTCACCAGCGCTCGCTAATGGCCCAGACTCTTCCCAGGAGCTTGGCGGCTGGGCCGGGGCCAACCCGACCTGCGGCGCAGATGCCTGCCCTCCACGCTGGTCCCCACGCAGGGACACACAACCCGCTAGGATTGGGGGCAGGGCATGAGCAAGCGGGTGGCCCCGGTGCCCACCCGGGAGTGGAGGGGGCGCAGGAAGGGTGAGGGAGGGCTGAATCACTTGTTATAAATAGGGAAAGACGACAGCCACGTCCCACCCTCGCTGCCCGCCAGCCACACGGTCCAACCAAATCCCTTACTCCATTTCTTAAAATTCCTTTTGCGGTGCTGGAGACGGACCCAGTGTCTGGCACGCGCTGGGCTAGTGCTCTACCACTGAGTCACGTCCCCAACTCAAGTTCCCCTCAAGCCGACTGGAGGCCACAGGGTGAAGTTCATCCCAGGACCTGGCCCAGCCTAGGATAGGAGATGGACGCAGGGACCTCCATCATTCAACTGGAAGGCTCTGGCTCACTCCCTTAACACCCCAAAACTTCCAGGAACCAGCCAGGCACCGTGAGGCATGTCTGTCATTCTACCGTTCATAAGGCTGAAGCAGGAGGATTGCTATGTGTTCAAGACCATGGTAGGCTATGAAATGAGACTGTCTCAAACCCCAAAACAGACTGGAGTGGAGTGCTTGCCCACTTTGCAGGAAGCACAGGGTCAGTGGGTTCTATCCTAAGCCAAATCCTGCAAAGTGGTGCACACTGGTAATCCTAGCACTCAGGAGGTGCAGCCAGAAGGACCAGGGTTCAAGGCCAGCCTGGACTACTTATCCAGTTTCAGGCCAGCATAGACTACATGGGGCCATGCCTCAAAAAAGTTCTTTTGTTAAATAAGGTTAATAATTATCATGCCCAGGCCCAAGACTTAGGGTTCCTGAGCCCTGAAAGTGTACTTGTGGCTGGATGACCCCCAGTCCTGGAAGGCAACTCGAGAGACAAAAGGGAGGTACCAAGAGGTATCCCGAATTTGTTCCCCCAGCCCTGTGCCCATCCTGGCCACCCAACCCTGCTCTGCCCAGGGCCACAGCTCAGTAGCCACACCCAGGGTGGCGCCAGCCCCAGCAGCCTGAGGCAAGGCGCCGCTGGAGTGTGACTCAGCCATGCCGGGCATGGCGCTGTCCTTCCCTCCCCAAGAATTCTCACGCCCACGCCACCACCCTCGGTCCTTCCCCATGACCAGCTATGAAGACACACCTCCATGTCCACTCAGGACACTCAGGGATGAAGAGACCAGAGCACCACACCGGAGACTAGAGGGGCAAGCTGTGAGTTGTGACACTGCTTATCCAAATGTTCCCATTTACAGGTGGAAAGACTGAGGCAGTGACATTCTCGGCGCTGTCTCATTTCCTCCATAAAGAAAAGAACGCCTGAGCTGGGGTTGGTGGTCCACATCCATCATCCTCCTCATACTTGAGAGATGTGGGCAGGGGGATGGTGAGTTCAAGGCCATTGTTGGTTTTGTTGCAAGTGTGACACCAGCCCAGGTTACAAGAAACCCTGTCTACATCAGCTAGAAAGGGATGGAGCGCCGGGTATTGGTGATGCACGCCTTTAATCCCAGCACTTGGGAGGCAGAGACAGGCGGATCTTTGTGAGTTTGAGGCCAGCCTGGTCTACAGAGTAAGTTCCAGGATGGGCTCCAAAGCTATACAAATAAACCCTGTCTCGAAAAACCAAAAATAAATAAATAAATAAATAAATAAAGGGATGGAGCTGTAGCTCAGAGAGCAGAGTGGTTCCTGGCATGCACAAACCCTGGGGTGTAATCACCAGCACTTTGGAGGTCTGTGATCCCAACACTCTGGCTGTGGAGACAGGAGCTTCCGAAGATTGCGGCCAGCCTGGGACTCCATCTCAAAAAGCAAAACAACTAGAAGCTGCTATCGGAACAGGGTAGGCATGGTGTTGGTGCTGCATCCCGGAAAGCTGAGGCAGGAGTATTGCAGTGAGTTCCAAGCCAACCTGGGCCACACACTGTTGTGACTCAGCCTATGCTCCAGTGAGCGAGACCCTCCTGTCCTCACACAGGCCTGTGTGCAGGGACGTGCAGAAGGATGGGGCTAGCTGGGGCCTGCTGGGAACATCTGGCCTCCACTTGCAACAGGCATAGGGTGACCATGGCATGGGGTGTCTCGTGGGGCACCCGCCTCGGCTGCCTCTTTCCAGCAAGCAAGAATCTGCCAAGCTCAGAGGCCGGGCCAGCGCAGACAGGCCCGACCCCCTGGACACGCCCTGTCACGCATATGCGCCGCGTGCCAGCCCTGGGCTGGGCCCACAGCTATTTTAAGGCCCCCTGGAAGGTCCTCAAGCAAGGCCTGACCAGTTGGGGGGTCTTAAGGATACTCTCAGAGAGCCCACCCCGACAAAGACAGAGAGCCGTGATGCTCCCCGAGGCACGGGCCTCATTGCTCCTCCCTTCTCGGCCCTGTGGTGGTGTGAACACATGTGCCCAGGCTGGCCCAGGCACAGTGCGTGGGTGAGCGGCCCGGGCGAGCCCGCATCACCTCGCCTGGAAGCCTGCACACCTGTCGGGCTGCGCCGACTTTGGGCTGGGCTGGCGGGGACAGCCCGGTGCCAGGGTCCTCCAGCCCTTACACTTACCTTCTCAGGCCACCCTGCCAGAGGCGGGCAGCTGTTGAGGCTGGGAAGGGGGCAGGTACAGGGAGCCAGGGCACTTCCTAGACACTCAGACAGCCAGTGGGCCGGAGGGAAGGTCACGCACAGCCCAGGGGTTCGGTGGCCTGCGAATCTAGAGGTCAGCCTGGGGCCAGCACAAGACATCGAGCCTCTCGCGAGGACCAAGGGCTGTGGCCTCGGCTGCTACACGCCGGGGTCAGGCCTCCAGGCCCCCGCAAGTCTACCTGCTGTCGCCCGCAGCGAGATCCGGCTCCTGCCTCCGGGGCCGGCCGGTCGCGGCCCCTCTCTCGTCCCGGCCCGCGCGGGAAAGTTGTCGCCGCCCGCGCCCCGCGAGTCTCTCCCGGGTCGGACCCCACTTCCCCGCGGGGGAGGGGAGCGGGCTCCGCGCGGGCGAGACGACGCCGGCCGCGCCCCACCCCGCCGGCCGGCCCAGATCGCCTTTAAAACCTCCGCGTCTCCTCCCCCCACGGCCGGGCAGGGGGCGGGCGCGGGGCGGGGCGGGCGCCGCCGTCATGTGCCCCCGAGGCGGCCCGCCCCACGCTCTCTCTCCTGTCCCCCCAACTCAGGCCCAACTTTCTCCATATCCGGAGTGGGCTTGGGCCTGGGTACTCTGGGGTCCTGCCAAATAGGAATCTTCACTTCCACTGCATCTTCTCCAGTTTAGAAAGTCCCTCCTTTTATCTCTCCCAACCCTCTCTTGCTGTTGTGGAAAAGAATTTGACTCTAGGCCAGGTGACCCCTGAGTCTGAGCCCCTCCCCTCTCCAGGCTTCCCGGCACCCTCCCCCACCCATCGGGGACCTCTGGGAGTCTCCACAGCTACGGGTATATTCCTGAGAAAGCGCCCCCTCCCCCACCCCATCCTTCCCTTTTTCTGAGTTTCTCCCTCCTCATCCTTAGACCTCCCCTCCCGCCGTCAGGAACACGGTGGCATTGTTCCGCCGGACGGGGCCCTGCCTCAGGGCCTGGACTGGTGCCCAGGTAGGGGCCAGGAACAAAACCCAGCCAAGGAGGGGTAGGGTGCCCTGTGTGGTCCCACTAACCTCCTTGGGCATGTCGGGCTGCCACTTGGCTTTCTGCAGGGCAGGACAGAGACGAATGGACCCCAGCGCACAGGGCACACCGTGCACGTATGGGTCAGGGCCTTCCCAGAACTGGGCGCAGTTTTTCCAACAACTTCCAACATTTCCAAAGACTGCCGCGGAGCCCCATCTATGACGAGCTAGGGGAGACGAGCGACCGGGCACATGCCAGGCGGGGCACTGGAGGGACGGGTTAGCGGGTCAGCTCAGCACTCTCACACTTTGGGGTGTACATGGGGTTGGGGTTGAAGCCACACCAAGTTGTCACCCCAGAGGCCCAAGCCCTGGGGACTCTTCAGCTTCCTTCCACGTGGGGCCCAAGAGGCAGGTTGGCCCAGACTGTGGGATCTGACAGGTTGGGGCATGAGAGGGAAAGAGCGGCCCACCCGCTGGGGCCCTGGGGGAGGATTTGGGGTGGCACAGACTTCTCCAACGCAGGGCGGGCCCTGGAAGCTGGGACAGATGGCCTCAGGGCCCCCTGAGGAGGTATAAATGAGAACAAAAAGTTGGATTCCACCTAGTCAGCCCAGCACTCCAGAGCTGAGGCAGGAGAATCACTGGTTGAAAACCAACCTGGGCTGCAGAATGTGACCCGGCCTTCGAGGTAGGAGCAGAAAGATCAGTTCAAATGTATCCTTGGGCTACTTGGTGAGTTCCAGGCCAGTTTGGACTATATGAGACCCTGTCTCAAAAAAAATAAAAGACAGAGATATATAAAGGCAGAGAGAGAGAGAGAGAGAGAGAGAGAGAGAGAGAGAGAGAGAGAGAGAGAGAGAGAGAGAGAGAGAGAGAGAGAGAGAGAGAATGCACCAGGTCCCCTGGTGTCCTGTGAACTAACACACAGACCCTGGCACAGATAACCTCTGGGTGTGCCCTCCACTCCGCCCTGTGTAGACCATCACCCTGTCCTCAGACACACATTGCCACAGTCTCATCTGTGGACACTCCTTTTTTCTTTCCATTTTGCTTTGTTGAGACAATCTCATCATGTACCCCAGGCTCTAGTTGCTCAGGATTCATGAGCCTCCTGCCTCAGTTTCGTGCTAAGATGGCAGGCTGGCCTGGGGACACCCATTCGCCAGTGAGTCAACTGGTTTATCATTCTCCTGAGTGGCTTGGGTCAATATAGCTCATGCAACAACTCTCAGGCTGAGAAGAATTCCTGACCCTCACTGTCTGTCCTCAGGTAGTGAGTGGCCCTAGCCCAAAGACAGGAGCCAATGGGATCCCAGCTCACCAAACTTGGCTATTGACTCTTTTGTCATGTAAGAAAACAGAGAGGTCCCGGAAAGGCTGAAACCAGATTATGTGGGCACATAAACGTGTACACACACAGAGACACACACACACACAGCTGAAATGTCTTGAGTGCTGGGTCTATCATGCTCTGGCCCACAGGAGTGGGGGGGACATTTAGATCCCACCAGGTTGGTGCAACAGGGAAGGGCTGTATCAAGGGACCCTGTCAGGTCTGAAGGTCGCCCAACAGGTCACCCGGGCGCACACGGAGGGCGCTCCGGGCCCCATGGCAACGCAGCACAGAGACATCAAACAGGGAGGCCGCACGTCACTGCGGTTAGGGAGGCTCCTCCCCACTGGCTGGCGGCTGGCTCCTCAGGCCGTCAGGAAGCCCGCCTCCTGTCGCCGTGGCGACCGGCTGTGTTGTGGACTGTCCCGGGCCCACCAGATCCCTGCCCCCTCGCTGGGGCACTGCCGCTCCCCGCATCCGGGGAGGGCGCCCAGCTCTGTCATTCAGCCGCCGGTGTGAGGCCTACTGCCGGGCAGAGTGGCCTGCCTTTTGCAGCTCAGAGTCCCCTGGAGACAACAGCTTTGCCAGAGTCTCTGGAAGGGTGGATGGCCAAGGGGTGGGTAGTTGCCAGGATGCTGTTGGGGTGGGGGACAAAGGAGTGGCCCCCCGGGGAGGGTGGTTACCTGAACGATGTTGTGGTAGGTGACACGGGAGTGGCCCCCGGGGTGGGTAGCTAACAGGACGCTGTTGGGGTGGGTGACACAGGAGTGATCGCCAGGACGCTGTTGGGGTGGGTGACACAGGAGTGATCGCCAGGCCTAAACCAGCACCAGCGACTGACATGGAGCCTTGGCCAAAGGACGGAGGAGGAGGCGACACAAGATGTCAGGAGTGGTTGCTGGCAGCCGCTAGGCGCAGGAGCGCGCAGGGTTAAAGAGAGCCCTTCTCGGGGTCTCCCCTCCTCGACACCCCCTCCCTTCCGGGAGATTTCGGGCCCCAGCCCCTCTTACGTCAGTGCGGTTGCTATGGCAACCGGCCGACTTTCCCAAATAAAATTACTGCGGCCGAGCAAAGTTTCCTGGAGTCGGCCGCGGAGTAAACAATGGCAGGGGAGGGGCTCGGCACTGGGGTCCCGAGGCCGGAGCGGGGGGATCCCTGTCTCAGGGCTCTGGGAGGTAGGTCCGGACAAGGGGACTGAGCGCGGACAGCCCCGCCGCTCCCACCCGTGTGCACTTCCTGTCGCCGGCTCCGGGAGGAGGTAAAACAAGCCGGCAGGCAGCAACAGGAGCAGGGACAGGGAGGACCAGGCCCACCGAATCCGCCAAACCCATCAGCCAGGGACTTAAAATGATCCCCCACTTCTACCCCCGGCTTCAACTAATGTCTAAAATAGGAACAGATTCGCCTCTCTTGGCTTCTGCCAGGTGCAGGGAGGGATCCCTGGTTAGGGCTGACACCAGTTAAATGACTTTTGCTCCAGGTGTGTTGATACTCGCCTCCAAGTGGGGTTCCCAGATCTCAAAGCATGGAATTCCTTTTGAGTTTTTGCTTCGCTGGCCCGGGAGGGAGTGTTTTGAAAGACAAGGAAGGGTCTCCTACTGTAGCCCAGCCTGGCTTGGAATTCCGGCTGCAGTTTAAGTTGTGCTAAAACCAGCAATCTCCCTCCCTCAACCTTCCAATTGGTGGGAATACAAGCCCCAGCCATAGTCTTGTTTTAGCTCTGCTTTCTATCTGAGTGTGTAATGGTGAGTCAGGCACAGAGGTGCACGACTTTAATCCCAGTACAGAGGTGCACGACTTTAATCCCAGTACAGAGGTGCACGACTTTAATCCCAGTACAGAGGTGCACGACTTTAATCCCAGTACTTGGGAGGCCAGTCTGGTCTACATAGTGAGTTCCAGGACATTCAAAGCTACATTGTGAGATCATTTCGAAAAACTACAAAATCGGGCAATGGTGGCACATGCCTTGCCTTTTAATCCCAGCACTCGGGAGGCAGAGGCAGGCAGATCTCTGTGAGTTCAAGGCCAGCCTGGTCTACAGAGTGAGTTCCAGGACAGCCTCCAAAACCACAGAGACACCCTGTCTCATAAAAAAAAGAAAAAAGAAAAAAATGTGTCCTGTGCAACATTTAGTAGGCAGATACATTAAACAAAGACAAGAAGTTACACTAAAATTGACTTTATCGTAAATTCAAATCTAACTGGAAGGCATTTTATTTCATTTTTATTTTAATGTGTTTTCTGAGGCAGGGTCTCACTCTGTAAAATTGACTAGCCTGGTAGAAATCCATCTACCACTGCCTCCTCAGTGCTGACAATAACGGTGTGTGCCGCCACACACAGCATGAGGGTTTTTGTTGTTGTTTTAACACCAGACTAGCTGTCCTGGAACTCGCTCTGTAGACCAGGTTAGCCTCGAACTCAGAGATCTGCTTGCCTCTGCCTGGGATTAAAGGCATGCCCAACCACTGCTTTGTCCAGCATGAATTTTCTTTTCTTGGTTTTTCAAGACAGGGTTTCTTGTGTAACCCTGGCTGTCCTGGAACTCAATTTGTAGACCAGGCTGGCCTCAAACTCACAGAGATCCTCCTGCCTTTGCATCAAGAGTGCTGAAATTGAAGTTGTACTTTACCACCACCTAGCTCCCAGCATGAACTTTTTGTTTTGTTTTGTTGTTTGTTTTCGAGACTGGCTTTGTCTATGGCTTTGGAGGCTGACCTGGAACTAGCTCTTATAGACCAGGCTGGTCTTGAACTCACAGAAATCTGCCTGCCTCTGCCTTACGAGCACTGGGATTAAAGGTGTTCCCCACCAAAACGCCCAGCCCAGCAGAATTTTTTTTAAAGATTTATTTTTATTTATTACATATACAGTGTTCTGTCTACATGCCAGAAGAGGGCACCAGATTGAATTGTAGGTGGTTGTGAGCCACCATGTGGTTGCTGGGAATTGAACTTAGGACCTCTGGAAGAGCAGTCAGTGCTCTTAACCTCTGAGCCATCTCTCCAGCCCCCCCCCCAGCAGAAATTTTTAAAAACTATATTTTATTTATGTGTGTGTGTTTCTGTCTGTGCAGAGGACAGTGAAGCCCAGAAGAGGGCCTCTGATTCTTTTGCGTTGACAGGCGATCTGGTCATTCCGGGTGGGTGCTGGGCTCTCTGGCCTAAATGCCCTAAGGTAGCTCCCTGCTCCCCACCGGGTCCCTTCCACCCTGTATGCTCAAAAGGAACAGTGGAATCCAATCCTCTTCCCCTCTCCCGCCTCCAACTCCATTCTCCCACCTGCTCCTCAGCTCCACCTCCCTTCACACCTCTACAAGATAAAAATCTTTGACACTGGATTTTTAGTGTTGAACCCTGTTTTGAGACAGGGTGGCCTCAGACTCCCTAGGTAGGCAGAGATAACCCTGACCTCCTGACCCCCTGCCTCCCTCCACTGAGTGCTTCTTTTTTTTTTTTTTTTTTTTTTTTTTTGGTTTTTCGAGACAGGGTTTCTCTGTGGCTTTGGAGGCTGTCCTGGAACTCGCTTGGTAGTCCAGGCTGGTCTCGAACTCACAGAGATCCGCCTGCCTCTGCCTCCCGAGTGCTGGGATTAAACATCACTTTTTATTTGAAGTGGAAGTTGAGACAAGATTTGGCAGTCTAGGCTTGGTGGCACTCACTGTATTATTAAGGCTAGCCTCTAACTTGAAGCAGTCTGTTGCAGAGTATCTGTTTACAATGTAAAGATATGTATCTGTATCTGTATCTGCCTGAGACATCTTCTGATTGGTTTAATAAAGAGCTAGAAGGCCAATAACTAGGCAGGAAAGAATAGGAGGGACTCCCGGATTCGGGGGCATTGCAAGGAGGAATCTAGGCATATGATTTTGCCAGCAGATTCAGACTAAGGGCAAGTCGAATGTGCTGAACTAAGAAGAGGTAACCGAGTCACACAGTAGAACATGTGTATACACACACACACACACACACACACACACACACACACACACACACACACGGCTGGAGAGATGGCTGAGTGGTTAAGAGCACTAACTGCTCTTCCAGAGGACCCAGGTTCAATTCCCACCACCCACATGGCAGCTCAGAACTGTAACTCCAGTTCCAGGGTATCTGACACCATCACAACAATGCACATAAAATAAATTTAATTAAAATTTAAATATATATATGGGTTAAGTTATAAGAGCTAGTTGGGAAAAAAAAAGCTAAGGCCAAGCTTTCATAATTATAAGTCTCCAGATCATTATTTGCACGCTGGCAGTCCAAAGACAGTCCAACAAGAAAGCCTGTCCTCCTGCCTCTGCCTCCCACAGTGACAGGATTGCAGGCATGCACTATCATGCTGTAGCTTAATTTTTTTCATTTTTACAAAAGGTTTATTTATGTTTTTCTGTATTGTTTTGGAGGCTATCCTGGAACTCGCTCGGTAGACCAGGCTGGCCTCGAACTCACAGAGATCTGCCTGTCTCTGCTTCCCGAGTGCTGGGATTAAAGGCATGCACCACCAACTCGGAGCCAAAAGGTTTATTTTAAATTATGAGTATATGGGATGCTGGAGAGATGACTCAGGGGTTAAGAGCACATTGATCTGTAACTCCAATTCTTGGGGATTCAACACCCTTTTCTGACTCCCACACAGGTGCACATATACACATGCAGGCAAAACACATGTGTACATATAAAATAAATCCAAAATTTATAAAGTAAAATTATGAGTGTGTGTGTGTGTGTGTATGCCCATGATTAATGCAGGTGTCCTCAAGACCAGAAGGGGGCATCAGATCCCTTGGGACTGGAGTTCTAAGCAATTATGAGCCAGAAACTGATCTCAGGGCCTCTCTAAGAGCAAGAAAAGCTCTTAAGTACTGAGCCATCTCTCCAACCCCTAAACCCCTCCTAAGTGAGACAAAAATCATCTCAGGCAAGACGTCATATTCCTACAGGAGGCCAGGATGACTATTATGGGGTGCTGGGAGCATAGAGTGACTGACTGATGCTGGGTGTCAGAGAAAGTGACCCAGGAGACAGTGTTTAACTGTCTGTGTCCAGAGCTCAAAGGCAGCAACCAGGTCCAACGTGGACTTGGCAGTCATGCCCACACACTCTAGAAGATTCCAGGCATAGCAGTTCCAGCAACCATCAAATCATCCACCTGGAATTCTGTCCTGTATCCTCAAGAGATGGCAATGACCTGAGACTGTTTCTCAAACTAGGGATGCCCAGGTACATCACAGGCCTTTAGCAAACAGTAAATTAGCTAGCTAAATGAGCCAAACACAGTAGCTCAGGTCTGTAATTCCGGTGGAGGGAGGAGGATCAGGAGTTGGAAGTCACCCTTGGCTACATAGTGAGTTCCAAGTCAACCTGGACTACAAGAAACTCTCTCTAACCAAGCAACTGTGCTCCCCCCCAGCCCAATTAATGTGTTAATGACTGAAGTCTAGCACCTGCCTAGGACCGGAATGCTCAGCTAAAAAGGATATACTCCAGTGGCGGCCTTCCCCCCCCCCCCTTCTGAGACAGGGTTTCTCCGTAGCTTTGTAGGCCAGGGCTGGTCTAGAACTCTCACAGAGGCCCTTCTCCCAAGTGCTGGGATTAAAGGCTGGGGCCGCCACCACCGCGCGGCCTGTGGCAGCCTTTCGATTGCCCTCCCTACCCAAGCAGGCTGCTTCTAGGACCCCAGCTCTGACCGTTGAGGTCCAGCGCCCGCCAGCTTTTCTGCGGGGGGGATGTCGGGGGTGAACCTGGTTTGAGAATTCGATTGCTCTCGGACCTCGGAACGGACCGCCGACGTCTCTCTCAACCCTCCGCGCACCCACACGGGGCTGCAGGCCGCCAGGGGACAGCCCCTGCCTGTCTGCGCTCCCGGCTAGAGGCTCGAACCCAGACCAAGGGAGGCTGGCGGCGGCCGTTGCCGGGGTAACGCGCTGTTTGTTGGCGCGGGGGCGGGGCGGGCGGTGACTCACCGCGGCGTGACGCGGGCGGGCGGGCGCCGGGCGGGCGGGCATCCAGCCCAGGGCTGGCGGCGGCGGCGGGAGGACTGCGGCGGGGGCACGGCAGAGC